AACATATTATTTAAAAAAAAAACTAAGACCTCCTGAGTAGGTGGCATTTATGTTCTTAAACACGGACACTTGGGACATCTCCCTCAATCAAGCAGATGCCTCTTCTCCTTTGCTTTGTTCCTCCAGTTGGTATCACAGAAACAAGAGGAGAATCACTGTATCCGAGGATTCTGCACCAAGGGTGCCATGCATCATAAAAAGAATGAGTTTAAAAAGCAAACTTGGAGGGAGACACAAACAGGTGTCATAAGTCTGGATTTGCTTAAAATTTTCATTTCAGCAGTTAACGCTGTTTGATTGCTTCAAGCACTCTTCTGAGCAGTAGACCAGGCTGAGAGCTAGAAATCTCATCAGAAAAACGCACAGTACACAAAATTTGACATACAACTTCAGGGAGATCCACCTCCCAAAAAAAACCCACGGCCATCGACTTGATTCTGACTCATGGCAATCCCATGTGTTACAGAGTAGAACTGAGCCCTGTAGGGTTTTCTTGCCTGTGATCTTAACGACAGCAGACTGCCAGGTCTTTCCACCACTTGGAGGGTTCGAACTACCAACCTTCAGGTTAGTAGTCCAGTGCAAACCATTTGTACCACTACCCTAAACAAACGCAGAGTAATTATTATCTTCTACTAGTTTTGTTTTTTTTATTAATTTTTAACTGTGCATTAGGTGAAAGCTTTAATAGCAAATTAGTGTCCCATGTGATAGTTCATACACAAAGTGCTGTTTCCATTCCCCACAATGTGCCTGCCCTCCCCGCATTGCCGTCCTAGGTTCATTTCCTTTCATCCTGAATTGTTACCCCTTCCTGCCTTCTCACCATTAGGGCAAACATTGCCCTTTTGATCTCGTATAATAGATTGTTCTAAGGAACACGTTGCTCTCGGGGGTTGCTGTTTATGTTATGGGCCTGTCTATGGTTTGGCAGATGGGCAGTCTCCAGTAATGGCTTCAGTTCCAGTTCAGAAGGGTGTCTTAGGGCCATAGTCTTGGGAGTTCCTCCAGTCTCTATCAGACCAGTAAGTCTGGTCTTTTTTGTGCATTTAATTTTTGTTCTGTTATTTTTCTCCCGCTTTGTCCGGGACCCGCTGTGGGGACCCCAGTCAGAGCAATCGGTAGTGGTAACTGGGCACCGTCTAGTTCTGGGCTCAGGGTCCTTCTACCAGTTCGTTTTACCATCTTCCATCTGTCTCTCCTTCTTTTCCTTCTTCTTCTTATAATAATAATTATCATTGTAAGAGTTTTTTATTTATTAAAGGAAAGTAGTCCAAAAAAGAAGAAAAGAAAGGAAGAGGGAGAATTGAAACAGTGTGCTGTCACAGACTAATGTACAAAAAATAGTACTTGAGCCATGGAAAATCAGTCAATAATCTCTAAATGTTCACTACTCTAAATAACCGTGGGGTTACTTTACCTGTAAGATTTATTTTTTAAAGTCACTTATTTAGAAACAAATCTATGGCAGCATATTTGAAAAGTATCTCTGAAAACGGTCTTAGTATTTAACTTAAAAAAAGGGATTATCAATCTTCCCCAGGTCTAGGAGCTTCTCAATGCAGGGACCCAAAGGACGTGCTCTGCTCCCAGCACTACTTTCTTGGTGGTATGAGGTCCCTATTTGTCTCTGCTCGCTTCTCTCTTTTACATCTCAAAAGAGACTGACTTAAGATAGAACCTAATCTTGTAGATGGAGTCCTACCTCATTAACATAACTGCCACTAATTCCACCTCATTAACATCACAGAAGTAGGATTTACAACACACAGGAAAATCACATCAGATCACAAAATGGTGGACAATCATGCAATGCTGGGAATCACGGCCTAGACAAGTTGACACACATTTTGGGGGGACACAATTCAATCCATAACAGTTGGTAAAGTACAAGGTCAGCAAAAACGAGGAAAATCCTCCATGAGATGGATTACACAATAGCCACAACAATGGGCTCAAACACAGCAAAGACCATGGAGATGGCACAGGTCCAGGAAACATTTTGCTCTGTTGTACATAAGGTCACTATACATTGGAGCCGACTTGAAAGCAAATAACAGTAACATTCAACTCAACTGTGAAATACTTAAGAGAAGTTCACTTACAAAGATGTTGTACATTGCCAAGGTACGGTATCGCTCCTGGACATCCCTGTATCTGAGTTCCATGACTAAAGATTTACTTCTAATTTCTGCAATTGTTGCAAGGACAAACTTGAGATCTTCAAGGTTACTGGGGCTCTTCTTAAGGTTTTTGGCCAAGAACTATAAAAGAAAGTTCAAAAGATACTAAATAAATGTAGAAGAAACACAACCATACAAAGACAGACCTTCCTGAAAAGTAATTCTAATGAAACTCAGTGGTCAAGTACCTCGATCTCTTCTTGAAGATTACTGAGCTCCTCCTTAGCTGATTCATTGAGAAGTTTCCCAAGAGAAACCACCCAGGACTTGGCATTTTCCTGCACGGTGCGTGCCAGGGGCCCCAGCTGAAGCCTAATGCAGTGCTCGTCCTTAACTAAAGGGTGACGCATGACCTCGTAGGTGATCTTGGAATAGAACTGCAACTTTTCATCATATGCTACACAAGGAGGTTTCCTAGCAGCAAACTTCTCCATCACAATGGCTTTGTCCAGTTTCCAGAGAGGTCTATAGCGCTTCCATTTTTGCAGGTACTTCGTAAGATTGATCAGAATTCTGTGGATATTTTGGGGGATCATAACAGCTTGCTCAATTATCTGGGGGTCCACAGAAATGTCGTTGAAAAAGCTTATGATAACAAGTTCTTCTTCTTCCCCTTTCTGAGGAGGGCATTCTATGCAGCTGCCATTCATCCACCGAACAAAATGCTGGCAAAATAAGAATCCAGGGAAAATTCAATAGTTTATTGTCTGTTTTCCCTTCTATGTATACGCTAGCGTTTAGTAATAAGTCTTGCTAGTAATCGAAAATCACTTTATTGTTAACAACCATGCTACACTGCAAAAAGTACCACAGTACTTTGCAGTTCCCTCCAGCAAGAGGTGGAATCTGCACAACAGAGGGTCCCGGACAGAGCTGGAGAAAAATGTAGAACAAAATTCTAACTCACAAAAAAAGACCAGACTTACTGGTCTGACAGAGAGTGGAGAAATCCCAAGAATATGGCCCCTGGACACACTTTTAGCTCAGTAATGAAGTCACTCCTGAGCTTCACCCTTCAGCCAAAGATTAGACAGGCTCTTAAAACAAAATGAGACTAAAGGGCCACACCAGCCCAGGGGCAAGGAGAAGAAGGCAGGAGGGGACAGGAAAGCTGGTAACGGGAAACCCAAGGTCTAGAAGGGGAGAGTATTGACATGTCATGGTGCTGGCAACCAATGTCACAAAACAATATATGTATTAATTATTTAATGAGAAACTTGTTTGCTCTGTAAACCTTCATGTAAAGTACAATAATTTTTTTTTTTTTTTTAAAGAGATAGAATCTACTTTCCCATACCTGGGCTGGCCTCATTGGCCAGTGTGGATCACTGCACTTGACCAACAGGAAGCAGCAGAAGCAGCACTGTGCAAGTTCCAAGCCAAGGGCTCAAGAGACCCTGCAGCTTTCATGTGCATGCTCATGAAACCCTGCAGCCACCATACGAATGAGCTTGAGCTAGCCTACTAGAGGATGATAAGCCATACAGAGGAAAGCCAAGGTGCCCCAGCCCAACAGCCAGCCAACCACCAGACATGTGACTGAAGTCATCAGTTGCTAGATGACCACTGACACATGAGTGAGCCCAGCCAAGACCAGAAGAACCACCTGGCAGAACTCAGCCCACAGAACCATGAGCTAAGAAATCGTTGTAAGTCACAAAGATTGGAAAAGGCTTATAATGCAATAAAGATTAACTAACATAATAACAATGACCATCCACTCCTTACAGTATGGGAGGATAAAACATTAGTTTCCATATCTGCAGACAGAAAAACACAGAGTCAGGTGAACTGACTGCCCAATGTCCCAGAACAAATCTGCTAATTTGACATCTCCCTGCTGTACAGTCAAGACTTTCTCTTCTTTTAATGAAGCGTGGTTCATCACAGCAAACCATCAGGTGAGTTACACATAACTTCTCTGAACCATAGTTTCACCATCTATAAAATGAGGATAACAACAACTACTTCTTCTGCTACTGATACTAATACTAATAGTAAACTAATACAGTGAAACCTGTGAGAGCCGGAACTCGATGGGACGGTCTTATTTTTCCGGGTCTTGCAAGTTTTCCACCTTTGACAGGATACAGTCTTACCACTTTTCTATTGCTCACTATTACTGGAAAATACTCGCGTTTTCCTTCTCTGGCAGGTTTCTTCCTTACACAGGTGCCAGCTTTCACAGGTTTTACTGTACAAACAATAATAGCTAACATTTATTTAGAGTTACTAAGTGCTGGTACTATGTTAAACTCTCTGTACGTTTTATATCATTTAATCCTCACAAAAACTCTAGAAGCTGGGTAGTATTATCATCTCCATTTTATACATAAGGTCATTAAGATGTTGATTTAAAACTCATGCTCATTTTTTTTTGCTATGAAAGATAAATCCTGAAGATCAAAGAGGTATTGTAGTTAAGCTGTATTAAATTACCTAGTCATCAATGTTCGTGTGTAGAGATTTTTTTGAATAAAGTACATTCCCAACATTTCCCAAGAAGACAGGTAAAAATCATTTTCATTTGAAAGAAAACGGTTATGAAGATAATACAAGTTTCACCAAAAGCTTCAAATCTACCTAATGGTGGGGGAGGGGGCAGTTAAACTGAAGTAAATGATGTGATTAATACCCATAAAATTGTACAGATAGTCTATCCTGCTTTTACTCATTGGAAATTGTTTTGTTTTCCTTTACAAAGACTCAGTGATGTAACACCTATAAGGTAAGAGACTTAAGAGACTTCATAAGTAGCTTTATTAGGACAGATTACAAAATATGTACAATTTAGTCATTAATTCAAAGGACAGTGAAATAAAGTGCCCTATTCATAATCTCTACAGTCAGTTTTATACTCAAAAAAAGTACCTCAAATATACATGACTTCCTGAACAAAGCAAGGAAGGAAAGAAGAGTTATTAGCATTGTGAGGGGTGTGATATCCACTATCTACAAAGACAGCCTTATTTTTCCACTTTTAGCAAGGTATAAACTTTGGGTTATTTTCCAGCCAATGTTCATTCAACAAACATCTGCTGAGAGCCAACTATGTGCTAGACACTATTCTAGGTGCGGAGGATTCAAAAGTGAACAAGACACACAGGGTCCTTTTTCTCATGGGACTTGCATTCTAGTGGCATGCGACGGCCAAGAGGCAGATAAGCAAGTAAATAAATAAGAACAGGTCAGTGACAAATGCTAGCAGAAAATAGGGTGAGTGATATGATAGAGAGGAACTAGAAGGAGCCAGGTGTGAGAAGGCCTAGGGGTAGAGTGTTTCACGCAGAGGTTCTCAAGGAAGAGCTAGTGTGACCTGCTGGACCAACAAAAGAGGGCCAATGAGGCTGGAGCAAGGTGGAGCATGATAGAGGTAGGAACTGAGGTCAGAAAGGTAGGCAGGTGCTAGACTGTGGAGGTCCTTGCAGACCATGATAAGGTGTTTGGATTATAGTCTTAGTGAAAAGGGAAGTGACTGGGGGGGTGGGGGGTGTATGCAATAGATGGCTTGAAATGATTTATATTCTTAAAAAGATCATTCTGATTGCCTGTGCTGGGGAGCGGATTGTAGGAAATTACTGCGATTGTTCATACGAGTGATGATGGTGATGTGAAACAGGATGGTAACATGGAATAGGAGACAAGAGTTCAGGTCACAGGTGTGTTTGGGAGTGAGTCAATCAGACGCACTGATGGGCTGGATATGGACGGGTGAGAGAAACAGAGCAATCAAGGGTGTCCCCCAGGTATGGGGCTCAAACCATTTCCTGAAGTGGGGAAAACTGCAGCAGGACCAGGTTGTGAGGAGGGAAATCAAGATTTCCATCTTGGACATGCCAAGTCTAAGGTCCAGGGTGAGACATCAAGTAGGCAAGTGGCTAGGTAAGTGTGGTACGTGGTAGAGAGTTCTGGGCTGGAGACAGAAAGGTGGTCTTCTCTGTAGAGGTGGTATTAAAAGCCACGGTACTGCTTATGAATAGGGAGAGAAGAACGGGGGCCAGGACCAAGCCTTGGGCCACTCCAAAATCTAGTCAGCTAGCAAAGGAGGAGGCAAGAAGAGACTAAATGTCCGCGACAAAGAAAAGAACCAGAATCTGTGTTCTCACCCAACCTCAAGATGCCATCTGGGAGACAACACAGATATTTCCATTACCTTGGTGACCTCCACGCAGTTTCGGACACAATGGACGCACATTTTGTCGATTTCGTTTGCGTTGGGATGAAGGATGATCTCGGGAGCGGTCAAGATGGTTTCCGTTTGGAACAAGGGGACATTCCCCAAGATTAGAGAATTGAAAGACTGCAAATTCCTAGGAGGGGTGAAAATAAAAGACTCAGTACTCACTAGTAGTGTGAAATATATCATACAATGGATGAAATTCACTGGAGTCACAAAAATGACACGCAGAAGGCCCACCGCACGGATCAACACGTTACAGAGTTGCAACGCACAGTCTGGGGCACGTTTTATTATACAGTCTTTTTTTTTTTTTTAATATTTTATTGTACTTCAGGTGAAGGCTTACAGAACAGATAGTTT